ATGATATTTTGAATTTGTTGATGAGAAATTTGTGTAATTTAAAATATTTTAAATATTTTCTGTAAGTCTATAAGCAATAAAATATTATTATTATTATTATTATTATTATTATTATTATTAAAGAATGAATTGATAATTGCATTTATAAATGTTCTTGCTGAAATAGTCACATATCTTGGATTACACATTAGTCTGTGAGAAACGCTTCAACAATAGAATATCGATCTCTGCAAAGAATCATGAACTATTCATGCAGTTAGGCCCAGGGTTGTACGAATGCTTCGTACAAACATCCGCCGTTGGATGGATGTAAAACCGCCCAATAAGAAAAGTAATCAACATTTCAATTTGAATTTTGTAGGCATTTTGAATTTGCATTAAAATAATTCTATTAGAAGTTCTTTTTTGAGATAGTGACCCTATGAAATGCTTGATTAATTTTATTAACAACAGTTTGTGAATTTTGTAATTAATTTTTATTTTTTTTATTTCAATTATATTTTTGTAAAAATGCAGTAAGTTATAAAATAATTTCCCCGCCTTTCACATTTCCACCCCTTTCTTCTTTTAAATATCCACGCACAAAAATATTATCACAGAAGTGGTTACATATGTATGTTTCATGCTTATTCCCTGTGGCTTAACGGAATATACTGGCAGTGAAACTGTACTTAAAAAAACATAATTTTAAATGGTGTGTTCTAAAATTAACTCCAAGAACTCCCAATGTTATATAATAATACTCATGTTGTGCACGACAAATGAATATGAGTTTTAGAACACACCTTATACTAGAGATATAAAAACTAACATTACTCCTTTTTCAAAGTAAATTTGAACAAATTAACAAATAATTAATGAAAAATCCCGTATAAAGTAAAAAAAACTCACTGTCAATGTTATGGTTGTTTTTTGAAAATTTCGTCGTAATCTGAGAAACCGCTCAAAATCGAACATGTTCTGATGTATTTCCGCTCGCCGAGCGGTATTCCGCGAATTCAATTTTTGTCCCACGAGAGAGAGCCGTTTTCCAGCCCAAAAAGCGGAATTCCACACAATCTGGCAACCCTGGTTAGGCCCTACAACAATGAACCAAAGAAACAAATGAAACAGAAGCGAAACACAATGAGCAAAGTAGTTCTCTCCATTCTTGCACTACTTTACTTTCTCGCTACCGCTTCCGCAAGTAACGTGATGCTGCGCAAAAAACCGGTGAATTTGTGGCGGGAAAACTTATTACAGGGCCCTTATAACGAAAAAGTGCATAAATCCAGTTGCTAAATTTAGAAAAAAATATTTTAACGCGTACTGTAAACAGAATCCGTGTTTTGTGGGTATTTGATACCGAAAAATCGAATGACGGCAAAACGTCTGTCTGTCTGTCCATCTGTGAACAACGCTAACGGCTAAACCGTTCATCCTATTTTCTCCAGTATTGATATCCCCCAACCGATGTGTCTGATGTCGCGACCCCTTTAATTTGAAACCGGTATTTTAGTTTTGGAAGGTACCGTCATCACAGGCTACTTGGACCCTTAAGGTACTACTTGGACCCACGCGAAAAAAATATGTTTTCAGCGGTTGTAGTCGCTCATACAATGCATTGACCAGTTAGTTTGCAGTTGTTTCCGTGCGATAGCAACACAATGCAGCATTAAACGTGTTTAGCATAATTGGTGGGTACACCTGTAAGTTACAGCAGTCTATTAATTGTCTGGGGTCGAAATCAACTGAATTTGAGACCTGCAAACGTTTATCTCAACACTGGATATCAAGATAGTTGATCAAGGGATCAGTTCACATTTTGATAATGATATCTTCGTTAAAAGAACGTCTGTGATAACTTCGTCATTAGTAGAACGCCTTCCTCATTTGTTTCCATATTGTGAGCACATAATCTCAAAAACTGGGCTACTTGGACCCACGCTCACAGTGGGGCCAAGTAACCAAAAGTTTTCTCCATCGTTTTTGGTTAAATTTTGGTTCTGAATAGTATGAAGAACGTTTAAAAATATGGTGTAGGTCTTATGTTCGTTAAAAACGCTGATTTTTCGAAAATTACAAAACTTCAAAAAATTTTAGGCGTCTTTTTACAATTACAACTAGGAAGATCGATATTTTTTCTCTTAATAAAAAATGTGTTCCTTGCAGATAGATTTGGCACTAAGGTCATGCACAATTTTTCGAAAATTTTAGTATATTTCACGAAATTTTGCGTGAAAATACGGGCGAGAAAAAAATTGCTGTTTTAGCATCACCAGTTGGACAACAATAATTTTTGGGGTAATTCTGAATGATCCGTTTTTTTTGTCTTAAAACTATTATTTAACAGAACGCCGGCAGTATTCTTAGCAAAAATTTTTTTTCCTTTCTTCACGATAATTCATTTTTTCGAAAACAGGATTCTCACAAGCGTCGTAGCGCCGTCTCGTCACAACTATTTCGAGGCAGGGAAGGGGTGGATGTGCGGCAGGAAGGAAGCAACGCCGAACAAACATGCCATCGTCTTCCCCACAATCCCACCAACATTTACCAACATTCAGTTTGCCGGACGTTCAATCGACTTCTTCCAGCTTTTTCATTGGTTGGACAATATAAACAAAACACTTGCAACTCCCACTAAACTAACAACTGATTTTCTCGTGCGTGGTCTTCTTTTTGGCCCAAGTGTATTGTTAAGGAAGAGAAGGCTCTTTATGGAACGCAGAGTTTAATCTAGCGGGCTGCGACTTGTTGACGAGAGCAGCCATCAATGTCTGACCACCTACGAATACCGCTCCACGGTTCACTCTCTTAGAAATCACCGTCGATGAGGCAGGCGCCCTAATGAAAATAATGGAGATCATAAAGACACTGTAGAGTGATCATCGCTCAACAGCTCACCCACCGAGGAATCACCCGCGATCTGTTGATGAATGCTACAAACTTAAAGACATCGCCGCCTCACCCGACTCCGTACGACGGCTCACCCGCTGACGAATCACCCACGATCCGGCAGATGTTCTGTTGAAGAGGGCTACGAACAACGAGAGACGAGCGTGCCGCCTCACCCGCCTCCGTGCGACGGCTCACCCGCTAAGCAATCACCGGGATTCAGGTAGGTGCCTTATTGAAGAGGGTGGAGATCTTAAGGAGACTGTAGAGGAGATACACCCGCCGCCGCTCACCGACTCACCCGCTGAGTTGGAATCACCCGGGTCCGGCGGGGCAACTCGCACCTGGAGCTCCTTCCTTCCTGGAGCGGCAACCTCCCAACCCGCAACCTCCCAAAGCAAAACGTCTCGTACCTTCAACGGAAGTCCTCCCCCTCACAGCCATGCGTCTCCTGTGCCTGCTTCTGCTCCCGGCGCTGGTCCGGGGCGCGGAGAAGAAGCTGTGGATCCACAAGTGCTGCGACACCTTCAAGATGCTGTCGGGCGACGGAGCCTCGTGCGTGGCGGCGCCCTGGCCGCGGGACGGCGCGCCGCAGTGGCGGCTGCTCAACGGCAGCCTGCAGCTGGCGATGCGACGCGCGCCCTTCGTGCGCTGGGTGGCGCGCTGGCTGCCGCCGGGCCTGTCGCCCGAGCGCGTGTGGCGGGTGAGCACGCGCTACCTCAACTTCGCCGGAGGCCGATTCACCAGATTCCTGCCCTGGGCAGCTCGCGCCTCACCCGTGCAGGCCTCGTCCGAGTGGCTGGAGGGCGGCGAGGAGGGCGGGCCGCGAGAGCTGCTCGACGACTCCGTCAGCGACGCGCGTGGCCGCGTCGTCTTCGCCAGGGGAGGCACCTTCATCATGCGCATTCCGGAAGCGCGGCAGCTGCCGAGGATGGAACAATGGCGGTACGAGTCCTTTGGTGATTTTGGTTGGTTGATTAGCGACTCCGGGCGCGTCCTCTGATAATGTCATTAATGGGCAAGGGCATTGCATGTTTTGTTTCTTCGGAAGGTGGCGGTGATCTTCCTCTGGTGACTGGTGAGATCCTGCGCTGACCTTTCCTTAGGCCAGCGAGGTTTTCCCTCAACAAGGTGTCTCCCACCAGCAGGGCCGAGCTCTAAGCTGACAGGTCTTTCGACACGTGGTGTAGTGTAGTGCATGTGAGTGGGTGTAAGGGATGAGGAGAAGATAAAGGAAGGGGAAGGAAAGATCGCGCGTGATGGTCGTAGCCCCGCTTGTTACAGTCTTGCTCCGCCAGTCGCTTAAGCCTGTTTTATACGATTATTTTTTCATCATTTTTCGCCGATACAGAAAAGATACAGGCTACTCTGTATGTAATTTGTACAAAAAATTGCCCATGCTTAATTTTTCGGTACAGATTTCATCCAGTTTGACTACCGCGCTCCTGGCGGCACTTTACGGGACATTCTCTGGTTTGTTATGCGTGTGGAGCGATATGTTCATTTTGTAGTTGAGTGAGAACGTTCTGATGTGTTGAATTGTAATGTCAAGCGGTTATGTAGTGAGAAACAAATTATGTACTGTATTCTAATATCGTCGCATCCCTGATCGGTCCTACTATAACCTAACATAATTTGTTACCACAGATTTGATGTTCAAATGTTTGAACTTCAGCGCTATATGCGGCGTCCGGAGAAAGTACTTTCTTCGTTATTACGTACAAAGACAGAAATTACCGTGTAAAACGCTGGAATCACTCTCATCCAGTTTCGGCACCGAAACATACTGCGTAGTAACGAACGTCCTTTTCCGTCCACTATCTGTACAGAAAAATGATGAAAAAATGATGAAAAAAATGACCGTGTCAAACAGGCTTTAATGTTGATCGGAAAAGACATGGGAAACTACCGATCAGAGCAGCCGGCCACTAGAATTCCCCTACAGACATCGACGTAATTCGAGTAATGTCGGTGTTTGGTTTGCAGCTACGAGTCGGAGACGTTCTACTGCGTGGACGCGGCCCTTCCGCCGCTGGCGCCCTTCGCCCTCGTCATTCATAACCTCTGCCAGAACGAAGGCTGCTACGTCAAGTGCTGCGAGCCGGGGTCGGTGGCGACGGCTGAGACAGGGGGTGAATGGCGATGCGTGAAGGACGCCCGAGGCTATTGGTCGCCCACTAACTCCTCCTTCGCCCGCTTCTTCGACAAGGACACGCCATTCAGCAAAGGGTATTGCTCAAGATGCCATCTTATTTGGTCCCTCTGTAATGACGTCTACACGAAAAAAAAGAACAGTTGCAGTATATCAGTTCCATGATATTGTAACATGATAACTTGTTCCATGATATTGTAACATGGTAACTCGTTCCATGATATTGTAACATGGTAACTTGTTGCAGTATCATGGATCTGGTATACTGAAACTGTTCTTTATTTCGTGTATGCATTTTCAGAAGGTGGCAGTCTGAAGAGATATGCCCGAACTGTTTCGCCACAACTTGCAACTAAAAGGAACTTCTGAAGTGGTCAGGTATTATATTCTCTTGTAAAGAACTTAACGCGATGGGTCTCAGAACAAATGTTACGAACTTCTAGCGTTTGTGAGACGCGTTGAAAATAATCACTTTTGCCAATGAAGATGGAATTTATCCAGTCGGCAGGCACCGAAAAAGAGGGGTTATGTTGAAGAGTTAAGTTGGAATACACATATATACATCAATTTCCTTGAATTTTAATATTTTCGGCAATGGGGGCATTTATGAGGCATAGGTTATACCAACGGTGAGATAAATAATAGTAGTTTATGTAATAATAATTATATTTATTATAGGCTGATTAAAATAACACAATCATGTGTATTTTTGCACACATTTTTTAGAATTCAAAAATTTTTTTGAATTTTTTTTTTGTTTGTTTGAAAAGCAGTAGCTCACTTGATTTTAAAGAAAATGTTTCATACAAAAGTTGTAGACCATTTGATGTCAAAATGCTTCAGTGGCGAAATGGTTTTAGGCATAAAATTGTGTATTCTTCAGTGAAACATTTAACAGGAAAATGTCGCCAGATTTAGATCTTACCAGTTAAAATACCGACATGATGTGTCGGGGGTAGATGATAGTTAATGAAAGTATTTTGAAAATATTTTGTACGTTTGTACGCAAAATAGGTGTGTATAATTGCGTATATATTATTATGGATTGTTCTTAGTGTTTATTTTAAATTACAATGCTATGCCGGTGACGTAGAGGGTCTGTTTCCATGTGTGTATCACACATAATTGTAAATATTCCACTTTCTAAGCGTGAAGAATTGTTTCTGTGAATATCATAAACCATAAAATATGTTATTGTCTCTGATATTCTCTGAAACACAGCTTATATTCAAAGTGCTACTCTGTGTGTATCGCATGCCCATTCTGTTCGAATTGTTTTTATTTCGTGGTGAAAAGGGCAGCATGGATCCGTGAAACTACATTGAAAAAGTAACAAACTTGCAAGAAATTCGAGAAACTGACTCACTTCCACTTTACAAGGAATACAAGCATGCATCTGTCTTGTCCGGGCGGTTTTTTTTATACTAACCCCGAGATTTGAATTACCACCCAACAAAGACGAAAATATAAAGTAATACAACTACCGCAAAAACGGAAAATATCGCACATTAAAATATTTTTCAAGCCTAAAAGTGATATGTAATACTAATAAATCTCAATAGAAACTGTAAAACTCTCGCAATGTGATCCACTACAATATCGCAGAACACGCATTCATGTATCAATCTTCATAATCAATGCTAAACGGATGATGACAAGAAAAGTAAGTCGTTGCCATCTAACGTATCACAGATAAACTATTTAGATGGTGAGTCTAGATATCCACTGCCTAATAAACGTGGGAGACATTTTGAAAGAAGTGGTTGAAATTTTGATAGGAGGGAAAGACGTAATGGCATAAGTTTCGACCGCCTACACACGGTGTCTCGAAATAAATGTTACTAATTTTTATGACACTATGGAGCTGACATTTCGACCATTTTGCAAAAGGGAAAGTAATGTCCTAAAAATGAAAGGTAAAAGGAAACAGTAAGGACCTAAAAATGAAGTTGTCCTCTGGTTTTAGGCTTATCACGCCTGTGAAAACGAGCAATGGCTGTGAAAATTCTTGGTTCATTTCAGCGCACGTGGTTTGGTTGTTTTGCGTCCACAGACGTAACTCATCGTGATTCAATCTCTGTGTAGTATTCGAGTAACTGCCAGTCCGTTGGTCCGTGCGTACATCACTCACGGTTAGACCACTTTTCGTGCACCAATCGAGACATACGAGATATCATTCGACACATCTCGATCCCCCGATGAGTGGTAATTTGTTTTCGTATCCGGCGAAAAGATTCTAAGAAATTTGCAAAAACATGTTTTTGCGGGACTTCGCCATGCAATCTTTGTGGGTAGACTGGGAATTAAAGCAACGCCATCTAAATAGACCTATGAAGTTCGCGTTGATTACACCCCAGAACCCTGGGACGTAATTTTAGCTCCATGATGTCATGATTTTCTACAACGTGGATGGCAATATTGATACTTATGCAACACGTGAATTGCGCGGGAGGACAGTCAATTTGTGACGATACTTTGAAGTTATTCGTAAGAATAATTCTGTTACCGTGAACTATTACAGAATTACCATGGAACTTACAAAATTTTAAGAACTTCTTGAGAATACTTGGGAAATCAGAACTGAGACTTATGCTATAGAATGAAAGCACATCATAATTCTATATTTCACTTTTAGGTTCTTTAGTGTGCCTGTACCTATTTTCAAACGAATGTGACTATTATTTCTTATTAATTTGAACTAACACCTTATTCACATAAATATACATAACAGTCGTTCTTTAATTTTATATATATTCACCCAAAAAACAAATAATAGAGGAATTACAAAAAGTGGAAGTGAACACAAACTAGGCCGAGTTTGTGTAGTTTAAAACTCTTCAAAAATTAGGTGAAAACAATATGGAAGGGTCAATCAAATCGAGGGAAGAATCAAATGTAGTAGTTATAGAATATATTGTGACAGAATTTTAGGAACTAATTGAGAATGATCTTATATTATGATTAGAAAATAATGCAGAAGAATACCTCACAAGTGATCTTTTATGTGTATTTTAGTGCATACTAGCAAAAAAAGCGTACAAAATGTAGCTGTCCTAAATTATAACTATTCGCATCATCCGTACCTTTCATGTGCTTTTTTTTGTGGCGGTTACAATTTTGAAATTTCAATATTACCAGTTCATATCCCGAATGGAGGTAACATACAAGTGTTGGGAATTTTTGAAAGGAACTGTAACATTATCAGCTATTGCGATTCATTGATAAGTCCAATGCCTGATACTGTAAGAACTTTTTTGAACACAACTATGGATCACAATAAGTCATTTTCAATCCATAAAAATACTTTTAAAACAGTTACTATGTCAGCGACGTCACATTCAGATACACTTCGATATTTTTTAACGTCGCGTCTCAAGGTCACACACGAAAAAGGGAGAGGGAGGACAGATTCCAATAGGAAGCTGCAACGTCACAACAGCTTCCACTTTTATGACTCCGTATTGGAGTCTGCTTTCCCTCTCCCACTTTCGCGCGTGACTTTGAGACGCCACGTAAAAAAATCGAAGTGAGGTGTAGAATTATTTTGCTCCGCACTCCTTCCTCAGTTGATTCGGCCGTTCTGCATTCACAGAGGCAAATCAACGTGTTTCGAAGGGAGATCGGGGCCTCTGCGCGACTATCGCCTGTCGCCCGAGGACCCGTGGGTGCCCCAGTTGCTGCAGCGCCGCATCCACCACTTCCTCTTCTCGTCGTGGGACACGTGCGTGGACTGGCAGCTGGGCGACAACGACGCCCTCACCGAGACGCTCTTCTACTGCGAGTATTCGCGCATCACCCGGGCCTTCTACTGGCTGCTGCGGCCCCTGTGCTTCGTCTCCGTTGCGCTGCTGGCGACGGCGCTCGCCGCCGTCGCGTGCAACAGTGGCATGCGCTCGAAGGCGCACGGCTGGTGCCTGGCCTGTCACGCCGCCTGCCTGCTGGGCTTCAACCTGGGGCAGGTGGCCTACTACATGACTCTCAGCGACGAGATAGACTCCTTCGGGGTCGTGCCACAGCACCTCATCAACACGTGCACAAATCTAGGTAAGAAATGAAATAGTGGGGCTACAGAAGAACATACTTTCTCGCAATGTTGATAACTGCTTCGCTACATCATGCTAATACGTACACCTGCAAACGTGTTTTCAAGCAAAATATAGTGAGACTCGAATTCAGATATTCAGAGTTAACTTGCCATCACTCATACCACTACGCCACGCAAGTGCCGAATGGTTCGATCTTCGCCAGACGCATAAAAACGTAAATGGTCGCTTCATATAAAGTAACGTCTAAAATAAAAACATCCGGTTGATACTTCCAAGGGTCGTGTTCGTTCAGATCGATTGGGGAATACCAATTTTGGAGAAAATCGGCTGAAAGATTTAGGCGCTAGCGTTGCCCACAGACGGACAGATCGACATTTTGCCGTTAATTGATTTTCCTGTATCAAGAACCCACAAAACATGGATTCTAGCTACAACACGTGTTAGAGGATTTTTTAAAAAATTTAGCAACTGAATATTTATCCATTTTTGCGTTACCACATCCTGCAAATAAGAGTTTTACCCTCGAAAATTCGCCGTTTCCCGGTGCTCAAATACAATACTTTCTCTTCCTACAAAGTAAGAGCGAGAAAGTAAAAACAACGTAACGCCAGGTTGTGTAGCTGGCTGGGGAGATTCTTCGCGTTCTCGAAAGAGAATGTATGAGATCTGGACCAACTTATGCTTGGATGAAAATTCTAAACATTCATGAGTGCTTCTCGGACTATTTATTTTAAATAAACCGCTGAGGTTGTTTTGGGTATCACATGACGTCACTTGATTTCCTCTGGTTGTGAGGTCCTGGGGTCCGAGTCCCGACTGCGGCAAGGTTTTTGAGTCTCGCTAAGCATCTAAATTGAATACAATGCAGTGTACGCTTTCACGGCCGGTTTCTACATAATAAGACGTTTCCGGGTTTGTAGGCTATGGTCTAACGGAAAGCTAAATGAAATGCTGCCACACTCTGGAGGACAATTCTACCGACCGGCTGCTCTGGTCGGTAGTTTTCCGTGTTCTCCGATCTTTACCAGAAGGATGCCGGAGCAGTACTCCTAACAAATGGCCCACGGACCGGTCGTGATCTTTCCATCTTCTTCTTTGTCTTATCTTTACCCCTTACGAACACACACCTACGCCAACATGCACTATATTATTCCACTAGTCGGGGGACCATTCGATAGCTTAGAGCTTGTTCCAGTAGGAGAGGTGCTTCTCTGGTGGGATGTATCTGATTGGGGAAAACCCAACTAGCCAACGGTAGGTCGGCGCTGGATTCCGAGGAAAAGGCGTGCACTACACTTACGGGAATATTAACCTTGACGCGCCCGGAATCAATCATTAGACAATCGATCCCAGAGTAATAATCATAAACCCTCGCCGGCGTTATGTTTCGAAAGAAGCCTGAATCGAAAATACTGGTGCGGAATCACGCTCAATGGCAGTCCTCCCGCCAACAATCCCTTGTGGTAAATTAATACAAACCAAAACACTTCGAGATGGCAGAGGAAAAGAGTTACCAGCAATAGAAGACCTCAACCACTTCCTTTTTTTATTCAAAAAGCGATGATAATTATGTGGTTTTGCGTGGATTGTGGTTAATAAGCGGCGGCGATGGTGTAACGGTTAGCGTATTGGACTGGTATACCCAAGTTGGCGGGTTCAAACCCGATCGGTAGTTTTCCGTGTTCTCCGATCTATATCAGGAGAATGCCGGAGCAGTACCCCCTAACAAACGAGCCACGGACCGCTCGCGATCTTTCCATCGGGTTCAAACCCGATCGAAGCGTGGAATTTTAAGGGCGAAAAAATCCTTCGTACGCCTTCCTTCGGAGGGGAAGTAAAGCCGTCTGTCCCATGTTAGTAGATTTACATGCATGTAAAAGATCCTCAAACCTAAATAACCTCTGAGCTACATTCAAAATCGCCCAAGAAATACCTCCTTCCTCTGCTAGTTATTGAAAGGAGCGTAGCGAAATTTGCGTGGTCAGACGGAAGAGCAGGCCTGATGGCCCGAGTCTCGTCACGTTTCAATAAGTGAAAAACCTGGAGGTTGCTCCAGATTGAACCACGTTAGTCGCAGCTCAGATTACGATCAATATGTCCTTGAAAAACAGAAGGCAGCAAAATACACTGAAAATCAATTTACACAATATAAAGTATTGCATGTTACCTTACTGTATTCTGAATTCTATGTAAGTATGAGTATATGAAATAATATCATGTGTATTATTCTATATTATAATTTCTGTTTGAAATATTACCATGAACATAATATCGTTATATATTTAAATGTTACTGTGTTATCAATGCTTCGTAAATTTTTGTAACTCACGGTATTTCATGCATAACTTTCCATTGTTTTTAATAAGTAGATCCAAATCATATACTCGTAATTACCCATCAAATTAGGATTAACTGAAAACTACTGAATTAATAAACAAATATCTAATCATAACATTTCATGTGACGTTTAAATGCATTTCCCTTCAAGTAAAATTGTGTAATATTGTAAATGTTCAAATAGTAATGCATTTCTAACATATCTCATGCATTGTTTTCCTTTCAAAGCTTTTCCGATGTTTTTCCTGATGACAGCCGCAATCTGCTGGCTTACGGCGTTATGCTTCAACATGAGTCTTGGCTTTGGGTAAGTCGCAAGCACCCACTCTCTTAGCTAAGCGAATCTTAGCTTATCTAAGCGCTATCTTAGCTAACCAAGCGAAGTGGCTCAGTGCGTAGCGGGAGGTCCGGGTTCGATTCCCGGGCCGGCCATTCTGACCGGGGTTTGTGGTTTCCCTCGGTCATAAGGAGAATGCTGGGATGGTTCAAAAAGGCCACGATCACCTTTCACCAATATCCTCTAATCTATTATTAATCTAATCTAATCTATTATCTATTAATAATAATAACAATAATAATAATAATAATAATAATAATAATAACAATAATAATAATAATAATAATAATAATCATAATCATAATAATCATAATAATCATAATGTTCATAATGTTCATAATGTTCATAATGTTCATAATGTTCATAATGTTCATAATAATCATAATAATCATAATGTTCATAATAATCATAATAATAATAATAATTAACAGCGGGAACAATGTTGTTCGCGTCCGTTGTCTACCACACGTGTCCCCTGTGTAACGCTAAATGAGCAACAATGATTCATTACCTACGCACGTGACCATTATGGGCGTGCGGATCCCTACAAGTTAACGGAAAGTCTGCGCGTCTATACAGGTCAGCGCTTCACCAAATGGCTAACATGTCAAGGGTGGGCGTTGGCTAACAACAACAACAATCGTAGCTTTACTTGGCACATAGTGTTGAGTGACATTGCATATTGCGATTGATGATTGATAACCAATACTACCAATCTACCAATATTCACATGTATTCACATATTCACCAATATTCACAAATTCACCTTAATGAATAAATGCCATTCATCACTCACAATAAAGACATGTTTATGGAAGCATAAATTCTCATTGTTTTTGTAATACTAAGCACTGTGTAAAAGACTCAGAGATACATACATTTTCCATAAAAGCTTTTAGATCGTGTTGGAGGTATATTCAGTTCCAATTAGTTCATGGTTTTAACGTATGCTTTCGATTGTGCGACTTGAAAAAACTCATTTTTCGGAAGATATTTTATTTCCTATTGACGATCATGTTTACGTACTACGACAATGGATATCCCGTCTTGTAAAAGCTCTAATAATTATGCTTAATAATTTACTATTTACTACAACTCACATGTGAGCATTCGTACCTTTTCACGGTAATATTAACCACATCCGTCAGAAAATGATCTCTTCCAATCATTTCGTCTCTTGCACACTTAATCGCGCCTACACGCATTTAAAATCAATATCCAAGTAACTTTTATAAATAAAGCGGAGAAAAACTCAGAATTATTTCGAATTAGATAACTGACGGAAATAAACAGACTTCTAAATACGCAATACTCTGCATTGATGAAATCAGTAGGTAATCTCAGACGCTATCCAATGGTGGCTCGCAGCCAAACTATTGTCATTGATGCACTCTCGAGTCTGTGATGTAAATCTAGACGAAAAATGTGCCGAAAAGTAATTATTTTGTAAATATATTAAGGTTTGTGATTATAAATCATAGCACACGTCAGCTTCCGCGGCTCGAATCCATAAATTCTCGGCTATCCGGGAGACGTCGCGTCGTTGGCTGGGGTGCTGACGTTTCGCCTGACATGTCGCATGCTTCCTCACTCCGTCACTGCCCTGAGGAAGCCTGCAACATGTCAGGTGAAACGTCGGCCTCTCAGCCAACGACGCGGCGTCTCCCGGATAGCCGAGAATTTATAAATCATAGCGCATAGTACTCCAGACCTTTAAAAGAACCTTTCACAAAAGTTTCGTCGGTATTGGTTCAGGAGATTCAGAGATTATCGCGCTGTAAGTCAACGCACTTCTGTGTTTATATTGTATATTAATAAAGATTGTCACTGCCCAACATATTTTCGGCATTAACAAGTGTGGTCGATTCTCACTTTCTTGAAAAAACTTCACTTGACTTTTAAAAACTTGTTTTTCCAATAATATAACTTTTTATGACAACAATCAGTCAATTTTCAAATTCTCAAGAATGCTGGTTGTAACAACCTAAAAGTACATTTCTTCAGCAATTATAGATTTTCATACTAAGAAAATGCAAAAAACAATAGTATTGATATTATTGTAAGGCTATCTGTGGTTACTAACTTTACCTAACAACGCACATGTTTCGCGAATTCCTCTGCTTACACAACTGACTCACCATATCTGAGAAAGAAAGCTGCTCTGTTTCAGGCTGACCCCAGCAGTGTCATTTGTTTATAAATATGCTTAATAGTCGCATTTAGTCAGAACACTTCCATTTGAGTCAGTATGTGTGTTTCTACTATTCGTAGCATGACGTAAGTCTCGCGGTTGCTTTCTCTTTGGTCGAGACGATGCGTCGTGTCATTGACATCCCGTAGTTCTAGCTGCGAGTATAGCGGACAGCGGGATGCCTACGTGCGTCGGTGAACAAACTATTTTTTAAATGTTATTTATGTGTGTTCCACTTTCAAATTTGGCAGATCTAAAAAAAATATAAAATTGAATAGAGAATGACTGAAGTACATGAGTATTTTTACAATTAATATAAGTGTCGACCTAAAGTGCAAATTTGAATTTTAAAAATTAATATATTTTAAATATTTAAATAATATGATTACAAAACATATATTTACATCACATATACATCTTTTTAATTTAAATTTAAGTTTAATATTTTTTGAGCAGAAAACGGTAATTGCGAAAAAAAATATTAGCGCGCGCATGGTTCCTCGGAAAATGTAATTAGTAATATTTCAGAAAGCGGTGGGATTAGAAAAATAAGAAAAAAGTACGTATCTCTTATTTTCAATCCAAAAATGTTTCAAGTCACTAAAAAATAGTGGTGTTTTTATTAGTGTGCGAGTTGACGTGGAATGACTTACTATTGGGTAATAAAAGACCCATTAATTCCATTACTTTGTATGTAACAGGTGTCTATAAAATCCAGGACCTTTGAAACCAAGGTGTCGGTGAAGGTGTAGTCTATCGCCTTCCAAAATATTAATTTTCTTTTTCACATTATTAATTACCTATATTTATACACCAAATTTAATTACCAAATTATACCAAAATGTTAAAAAATAAAATATATACAGATTCAAAATGCGCAATATTTATTTGTTTCCAACATCAATGGATGTAAATGACGTATACGAGTTAATGAGTGAGGGAGTTTAAGAGCGTTAAGTGGAGTGCCGTTTCCATAGTAACTTGCAGGTCTCAGCTAGATACCAAAGCACCTTGTAACAAGTCATTTTTAAATATTTCATCTTCTATTTCTATTACATCTTCGACGTGTTATTTTTCATTTAAAATCTCTTTCTCTCTTTAAACCACTTTCAAAATGTTTTTTAAAACTTCTCACTCTGCATGCAACATGGAGGTAAGCTTTTCAAACGAAGTGCACGTGTTGTATTCACGTGGTTTATGACGCAATCAGGTGGTGCGCAGAACGAGCAAAAATCAGCACACCTGAGTATCCCACTCATATCTTTCCACCAATTCCGGAATCGATTCTTAGGTAGAAATGGAATGCCCCAAAGTGCGAGCCACGTGAGATCTGTGCTTGCTTGCAGGAAGCTGCAAGTGTCGCGACCGAAAGCCGGCAAGGAGTGGAAACGGTTCCTGGTGATGTCGGCAGTAGCTTGGGGGCTGCCGTCTCTCATGACAGGGCTATGCGCCTACGCCTTTGAGAGGGACCAGCTCTTACGGAAGTGGTCCAGTCCATCACTGACGGAAACACGCACGTGCTTCAATGAAGTAGTTCTAACTACCCAACAGTATGGTAATCATTTGCATTAATATTTCGCAGTTTTTCGCACTTTGGTTGTTACTAGTGGTCGAAATTCGACAGTAGTTCGTTAATTTTTGTATGTATTGAAGTTATTTTGGTATGATGTGTATAAATAATTGCATACATTTTTTTTTGAATTTTGTTCTATTACTCATCTGTAAAATTACAAATACGGCATTTGCGGATGTTGTTTGCCTTATTTCCCTGTAATAGTTATGAAATTAATAAAATTTAAAGACAACAGATGAAAGAAACACAATTACCGTTTGTATTCCAAATAATTTTTTGATACAAGTATTTGACATTTTCAAGTTTTTTTTTAATATAAATATTTATTCAAAATAAACGCTTATAAAAATCTGACCTAACATTCGTAGAAGTGCTTGTGTGTATACACTTGCTCACACTCACATACACACACACACACACACACACACACAATATATATATAATATTAAGTATCACGTATAATATATATCTATACGTAATACTATAATACTACTAGTCATCCGCAAATGCAGGTAATACATTGGTAAATAAGTTTTTTGGAAGGTAAATGATAAAATAGATTCTGAATATGTTAAATTTATACGTGGAATCAAAATTTTCTTATTCTCTAAGGTTCCAGTTAAGACTTCGCAATCAATAGCATTTCAATGCATACATTCATGCACATTCTTGTTCCATTGATGTTTGTGCTGGCGCATTTCTTGTTTACTTTGTGTTGGCGGTGGCAAGCTGCAACGCAACCTGCCACGTGGTGTTGTATTTTCTTTAATTGTACCGAGTGGACATTTTATCGTTCGCTGAAGATTCGGGCCACGTCGCCCTGGGAGGCGAGGACCCTCTCGCCCAGCAAAGTACTGACTCAACTCTCGTGCTGACATACTGGAACAGTCGCTGCGCTTATTTTATCTTAATGAAGATGCTCAAAGTGGTGTCCTTTGGTCTCGAATGCATTCTTGGCACCCCTGGAACATATTCTGGTTTACCTTTCAAGTAAGTCTCGAGGAATTTGCAGCGAATTTATCTTCAAAGAGCGCTTGTGCTCTTCCTACGGGTTTGCTGCATACGCCTTTTCTTTCCAGCTCCCCAAAGGAAAAAGTCACAAGGGGTCAGATCAGGTGATGTAGGAGACCAGAACAAGAAAAATTATTCAATCGTCACTATAAACAGTATTTGAAAAGTGCATGGATCAAACAGCATTGTGAGCAGTCGGGGTTGTCAATCTTTCGCATAATAATGTGCAAATCTGATTTACGAAAAACTCAACCAGAACGGTAGTGTTGAAAAAAAAGTACTAAAATTCTTGTCGAACCCAACGCGCATTACTCTTTGTAAAACAGATGAGCGTTTTCTGCTCTCCGATAGCGGTTGTTTTGTCAATTGTATCCACTCAGATGAAACCACGCTTCATCAGGAAAGAGAACCAGAATATTTTCCGTAGATGCCAAGAATGCGCTTGAGACGAAGGACACCCCTTTCAGCATCTTTAAGATAAGACAAGTGCAGCGATTGTTTCCGTTTGCCAGCAGGGGTGTTGAGTCAGCGCTTTGCTGGGCGAGCGCGCCCTCGACTCCCCGGGCAACGTGGCTCGAGTCTTCAGCGAACGATAAAATATGCAACCGGTATAGAGTTGTAACACATATCTAAATTTTAGATTTCTGCACTCCTCCATTTAAACTTAAACTATTCTAAAACTCACTCTCCTCCGTGCGCGCAATATGGACAAAAAAGGGTTACAAAGATTTCTGTTCACGTATTAACGTATAGATTCACTCTCACAACCAAACACGAACATCTTGCTCTCAATACTGATTTCATACTTTTATTCTGCATAAGCAAAGCTCTCACATTTTTCACTTTTTAATTGATTTAATTGGTCGTAAATTTACAAAAGAGGTGTCTAAAAGATAGGACAAATAATACAATTACTAGCAAAATGTGGCGTCGCTGAGGCTGTAAACTGTTTTAAAAATAGTTTTATGTGTACAAAATTTATTTCATACTTCGTTTTTTTCATGTCCAGCTTAGTTTAAATATGTTCTTTCAGTTTCTGGCACCTTACTTTTGAATGAATGTAAGTAGTAGTTGATAATGTTATACTCCCGTTCAAAGATTTCCAACACCCAATTGTCTTGTCTGTTACTTTCCATTATTTAGTTGAAATTCTTCAAGTTCAATAAGTTCCGATGCAATACTGTTTGTAGGTATTCGCAAATTTATTTTTTTAATAGATAATAATTCGAAATCAAACTGCAGCGCGATTTACTTGATAATTCAATGGTTAACTTAAAGATGTCAACATCACTGATGACAAGGTCGTGAAATAAAAATATGGCGTATTAAGAAAAAAATGCCTTTGAATTCTGGTAATGAGTAACGCCACCTTCATTGATCGATTTAGGCGTTGGTTTAATTCCTGACATTATCACTAAGATCGCAGCGCAAAAATACAAACAAAATCCGTTTTTAAAAATTTATTTAAATCTTCTAGCGGAATTCTGAAAACAAAAGTATCAGTTCCCCATTAAGAGACCGAGACGCTTCGAAAGACACCTCATACGTCTCGATTTTTGCACGGAAAGAGGTCTAGACGCCCGTAACGGAATGGCAGAAACACACATCCGCACGTCCACACACTCAAGAGCTTTACTGAAATACTGTATAGTGACATTCACTTCGAAAACCAATTAAATTGCCGCTAATTGCGTTATGTTATTTTCATCTTCGAATCAAATCAAAATATTCTAAGAGAGAGCACAATGATTTACAGGCTTCCTGTGGATGTCCCTTCGCCACAAGTCATTTACATTAATATTTTGCCCACAACCAAACCCGGCTATCTTTCACTCAATACTGATTTCACACTTATAATCTGCATCACTAAAACTCGTACATCATCTTTAGATTCCATCTGTCACAAAGTTCCAAAAGATGTGTCGGAATGGTAGAATGAATAATATATATTTACTTGAAAGTCCAATTAAATTGCCGCTAATTGCGTAATGTCACTTCCTGCTTCGTATCAAATCCAAATATTCCATCAGAGAGCGTTGATTTACAGGCTTCCTGTGGATGTCCCTTCGCCACAAGTCGGGCTCCGCCCTCTTCTACTTCGGGCCCGCGTGCGCGTTGCTCGTAGCCAACGCCGTGTGCGTGGCGCACGTGCTGAGGAAGGTGAAGTTCCTGCGCAGGGGCAACTCCGTCCTCCACAGAGAGGACGACGAGGTCGCCAGAGGACGCCGCCAGGCGGACGGACAGGACCCGCGCGCCCACAGCACTAGGGCCAAGAAGGCAGCGCGATCCACGAGTCCAGACGCCAAGACGTGCGTACTGTATTTCAGTTCCAAATGATTTCCGCATCCTCCAGACCTGACTTACTATCGTTTTATGTGCATTCTCCATTGCAGAGTTTGGATGTACGTGAAAATGTTGCTGATGTCAGGAGCCGTTGAGGTCCTCACGGAAACGACCGGCTGGGCGATAAGCGCGTTCGACAATAACACATACTTCTCTCTGACGGATTTCGCGCTCGCGTATCGCGCCACGGGGTACGTAATCGACTGTTTCCGCGCGGTGTGCGTCGCCTGGCTGGCCGCTCCGGACGGAGGCTACCTCGCTGCTCTGCGGAAGCGGCTGGGCGGCGGGGAGCGCAGGGCGGAAGCGGGGAGGGGGCGAGGGGCGGTGCAGGTGCGGGGAGCTGCAGGGAGCGGGACACGCAGGGGAAATGGAAGATAGAAATCTTCACGTTATTCCGTTAGTACGTTTCAAATCGGTACGAACTGTCTTGCTCCAACTTTCAGTTTCTTCGATGGGATCCTGCTTTCCCGATTACCCTTTATATATCTGTTACGAAGGTGAAAACTACCTTGTAGTAGGAGTTAATTTCCGGTCTAGCTACTTGTGTACGCTATTATGCCTATTACCGGTTATAGCCGTTTTGCCGTCGATGCGTCAGTAATAAGACCATTATTTTTATCTCAAGGTTGCCTGATGTTGCTATGGCTGTTAATAAATGTGTCATGAAAGTAAGGATATGCGCGAATTATGACATCTAAATGCAATTAAATTACATATTTAGCAGCATGTACAACAATTAAATTAGGAGGTGCTTTCTTTGAATACATAATAGTTACGACATATGAAAATAAAATGTTGCAGTTGCGGAACCGTGAAATTAACTCCAATATCGTTATTGTAATTAACGAAACTAGTAAGTTAAGATAGATATAATTGCATGAGTGGTATGTTCAAGAAAATGAGTGACGATAGGAGCAAGTTTCTTTATCTACCACGATTGCAATTATACCATTCATCCACGTGTTACGTTCAATATTTTTTCGTTTTCATTAAAATATAATTTTAATATTAAGAAATTCAATCATATCTTCATCATTTGATGTATCTGATGACGTCATATAGGTTCTGAACATGACCGATTGTAGTAAGCTTTGCACTGTATGTTTATGATCACCTTAGCATCTTGAAGAATAATGTATGAAATGAGAAACGATTGAAGATGGAAAAATATTTAACGTATTCCAATTGAATTATTATAAGAAGCTGACAAAGCCATGAAAACATTATTTCGTACGGAATGTAACGGCATGTATGACAGAAGAACACGTGTTAATGTTGGAAAGGAGAAAGATGATTCAGTTCTGACTCTGTCGTTGTGCTGGTGTACTTTTCAGAGCGAGTAAATACATTTTTTTTTATATTTTCAATACGCTAAGACAAAATCTTTTACACGTAACAATATCAAATAGGTGGAGTAAACATATCTGTGCAATAGTATAAAGCGTATTCTGGGTTAGGATGATTGTTGCCAAGTATGAGTAGGGTAATAATTGCTAATTGAACTTATCGTACTACAAATATTAACATGATTATCTAAGAAGTAGATATAATTGTTGGTTTATAATTTTGTTTCATTCGTTTATTGATTATATGTTTTGATGTATTTAATCAGTGATGTACTTTTTTGTTCATGTTTCACGGCCGTCTGGAATATCTTCGCTAGGCCTGTTTATAGATAAACAAACGATTTCGTTCAGTTCTCTTAGTTCTCATTGGCTGTTGTGGACGTTGAATTGCACGATTAAGGTTACATGCACGCGTGTCATAAACATTTGATAATAAACGATTTTTCATGTAATTAATGAGTATAATTCATGTAGAAAACGAAAAAATTCATTAACAAGTCGATCGTTGAGCTTGACATATTTACATCTACATAAAATCATTGTATTCCTATTTCTTTAAAATTGGATTATATAATTATATATTTACTTACAAATATATATTGTTTCAGTTTTTTTCGAAATATTCATAGACATTGAATACTTGTTTAATGGATTAAGGTCGGTTCCAAGGCATTTAGTGTTCGAAAATGTGAAAATTATCCTATGAGACAATTTTAAAAACAATCGATAGTTTTTATTTTACATTTTTTATACTTTTTCTTACTTATTTTTGAAAAAATAAATACATACATATGTATATATTTTGCATTTTTTATTACATTGAATTCCTTTCTCTATTGTTTGTGTATAAGAAATAATTTGGTTTATAATGTTTTTATTGAGTGAAGTGTAGGTCTTCTTAAAAATTGTTACAACTTGTGTGAAGATTTGTGAGTGATTTGATGGCTACAAATAGTGAAGGTGGAATTGAAACTGAAATACATATGCTGAAATATATTTAACTACAAATGTACAAAGATTCATTTAACCTTATTCACATCTAGTTTTTATTTCATTATAACTCGTATGAGCTACAAATCTGTTTATTCATATATGTGAAATCAGAAGTACTCTTTGATTCATAATACCGTTTTTACTTTCCAGTTAACTAACATATATACGGAGTAATATACGTATTTTAGGGAAAATTATGTAATGCTGCTCGAAAAAACGGCGAAAAAATTGTCGCGCTCTGATAACCAGTTGCTAAACAAGGAAAAAATCCTCTAACAGGTAGTAACCCTGCTTTGTCCTTGATACTGAAAAATCAGTTGACGGCAAAATGTCCGTCTGTCTCTCAGTCTCTGTCCGTCCGTGAACACTACTAGCGCCTACGCCATGCGTAGGATTTTTTCCAAATTGAAAAAACCTCTGTCTATCTGGCTCGAGTCGAAGCTTCGAGATTTCGAAAAAAAATCTTTAAAATTTGGAGGTACTTTACATGATGCACCTCGGACTTTTTCAAAATTTCTCAAAAATAGTTCCAATTTTTCCTTTAAATTTCTTGTAAGAATAGAGTAACATACACTTGTAAAAGTGGCATAGCTTCGATTTTCAGGTTCCACTCTGCATTTTTAAGATTTCAAATTTTTTTCTGGCGTCTTCCTACAACTACAAAATTAAAGATTGAGGTTTTGCCTTCAAACAAATATTGTTTTCTATACAGACTTCTTTCATTGCAGCCATGCACTTTTTTTGAAACAGTTTTTGCGGAATATTGCGAGAAAAATGTGCAATTTCAAAAAAATACATTTTTTTCTCAAACACGGCTTCAAATTTTTTTTAAACCTTTCACAGGTATGGTGCAAAATTTACTCCATAAGATGACAAACACACCATATTGCTCTATTCTTTTATTTTTTCAAATATTACAAAAATGTAATTTTTTTGGCTTAGCTCTCACGTCGTTAATATTTATATTACACGATATATATTATTATACGACATTTTGTCCACAATATTGAATTTTTGAGTGCATGTGCTTTAAATAATGTCATATGAAGTTTCTGGAAATCTCAACCGGTTTGTGTGAAAACTATCTCAAAATTCCGCATTTTCAGAAATGCTCAAACGCAATTTTCTCAAAAAGATTTCCAAATTTTCCTTCAAACTTTTCAAAGAGATGTGCTAATTGCACTCTTTAATATGTTCATAAATTTCGGGGTTTTATTGTGTTTTTAAAAATTACACAAATGTAATTTTTGTCAAAGATTTCTCACGCCGTTAATATGCACATTTCCAGCAATTTGTA